CACCCACTCACCCAGTATCTATCACACAATATTAAATATCTAGTGAGAACGACATGATATTCATGTTAAAAAACTGTTGATCTCGCTGATAAGATCAAGGGGATCCAACAGAGCCAGATGGTATCTAAGTGAGTTTTGACTTAATATCGTTTTTTATATAACTGCCAATTAAAGTGGCTTTGGAAGATCAAAGAGTTCACCGCAGCAGACAAAGATGAAAATGTGCCAAATCTACTAAAAAAAGTACGCCAGAGAGATGTTTTTCTCGCTTACTCATCAATTTTATGAACAAACGGAAAGAGCAGCCTTGTCCTCAAATTTGGCTAATATATGTCGTGAAGCCTTCGAGAAGAATGCCTTTAAATTAGTAACTTTAAATCCATGTTAGTTTAGATACGCATATTGACGACAGATTTATTATCTAGCCCCATCAATAGAATACAACCAGAAGTAGCTAGCGATGGAAGAAACTGGCATTGTCTACACATTCTCAGAACCTACGATCTGCTCTTAGAGGAAACGGATACATAAATATCAAACAAATCATAAGAAGGAAACGAGGAAAAAGAAGAGTATCTGGCAAAGACCTACTTGCACTATACAGGGTAGCATAAAAGTATGGGAACCCCAAAAAATCTCGCGAAATATGCATTTTCCGGAAAAACCAAATCTAGGGAAATTTAGGATTTTTCCCTAGCTATTCAATGGTTACCAATGGATGAATTTTTCGAAAATCATCCGATTTGCACCAAACGTATACAGGGGTTCTTGGGGTCGCTGATCACGAATACGAGGTCAAATTTGCAAAATTCAAGATGGCGGAATCGTGATCAGCGACCTCGAAAACCTCCGTATACAAAATTTGGTGACAATCGGTTAACTTTCAAGGTGTTCAAAAATTTCATCACATAATTGTAAACCTCATGTCACAGAAAAATTTTCTTTCTCAGTCCAAAACCATTTCGCTATTTACCAAAAAAAGTCTTATGATGAGTTTATAAAAAGATCTTCGTCTTAATCTTAACCTTTGTTTTAGGTTTAATCCTAATATTTTTACTTCGTTTATAAAAATTTGGCATTAACTTAATCTTAAGAACTGGCCATCCAATAACAGCCTTTTGCGCATGCATATGTATCGTGGTATTAGCCTTAGTCCTAAGAAGTTAAGAGACAGGAATTTTCAAGGTTAGCTCTTAAGACCCACTTAAGACTAAGACTAGTTTAGTATTTTTAATTTTATTGAAATCTGTAAGTTTAACCACTTACTAAGGCTAAGTTAGTACTAAAACCTTTTTGTTAATACAAAAGTTAGTTAACATATTTAATATCACATATTACAGAATCTACAATTATAATATTAAAGAAAAACACGTTTAACAACTTTTAACTTATATTAATTTTGCCTTACATTTTTACCTTTACTATTTCTGTTAATTGCGGGTAAAATGTAACAGCCATAATAAACTAATGAAATTCACTCACAGTTATATATAGTACAGTCATTGAAGCTGAAAATCAGCTGTAACCTCCGAATTCTTTGAAACTGCATGGATTTCCATGAATATTTAGAATAAGGCTCATCTTAGGCACAAGGTCAAAAGTGACATAAGCCCGATTGACGCTTTTTGTTTTTTAGGGGTAATAACTACCCCTACGTGAAAAAAAAATTGAAAAAATTAAGCTTCAAGCATTTTATTGATAAACATCATGTTCAAGCACAAAGATTAAATAATGTTCCGTGTTCTCGAACATGTTTTATGATATATTTGATCTTAAAAAACTACCCCAATGCAAAAAACAATGATAAAAATCACTTTTTAAAGATTTGGAATGATTAAATCGTGCAATTATTTAAAATAAAAGTTACCTTATAGCTAATAAAAGAATTTTTCCCATCCCCTAAAAACCACCCCTGTATTGATAAAAATGATAAAAAATTACTTTTTAAAAGCTTGGAATGCTTTAACGGTGCAATTATTTAAAATAAAAATTCCCTCATTGTTTATGAAAAAATTTGTATCTCATAACACTTTTCAACCCTTAGAAATCACCCCTGTGCTAAAAAAATTATAAAAAATTACGTTTTAAATCTTGGAATGCTATAATTGTGCAATAATTTAAAATAAAAATGCCCTTATATTGTTTATGAAAGAATATTTTACTTTTGCCATTTTCAACTCTAATAAACTACCCTTTTACCAATATTAATGTAAAATATTTTTATTATAATCGATTTTTAAATATAATCAGTCATAAAAAAAAATTGCTACGCTGCATATAAACTTTTACACACGCTGACGCGCACTTGAATCCTAATATTTTGCTCCAAAAACGAGGAAGCCTATTTTGATCCGAAAAAATGTCAATGGTTTTTTTTACCATAACTCGGTTCATTTTGAAGCTATAGTATCCTACAAAAAAGCATTTTAAAGACAATTTCAAGAGCTATAAGATCGTTTGCATATAAAACCTTTTAAGTCCTTCGTTTTTTAAAGGGCTCGAGACAGGTCGTTTTTTCACTAAAATGGATACTTCAAGCGGCGATATCTCCTTTATTTTTTATGTTATAGGAATAAAAAAAAAGCAAAATATTTGTTGAAAAAAAAAAAAGCTACACTTTTGTTGTCTATCATTTTTTACGTACCTATCTTTCATAGGTTCAGAGTTATTATATAAATAATGCAATTTTTTTTAATAATGAAAAATACGTTTTCATTTTTACCGTACTTCAGGATCGTATATATGAAAAACACTAAAACAAAACTAATTGTAAAGGGTCTACGATTAATCTTAATTCTAATGGAAATGGTACACGATTACTGCTCATTTTTCCTTAAAAAATATGAGCAACCCTGTTTGTCTGTTTTTGATTATAACTCCTTCAATTTTGCTCATTTTGAAGGTCTTTTTAAAAACAAAAAACTCCTGGAGCATTATGCACGTAAAATTAATCCTTTTTCCGTTATTTGACCTTGAATACGTCGATAATATTCGAATATTCCCCCAAAAATAAGTCCACTTTTTTAAAAAACGATTTTCTTTGTTTATAAGCTACATTTTTGTTCATTACACTTTTTTTAAATAAAATGCGTAGTTTTTGAGTTATTCGCGAAAAATATTTATATTTTTTGCTCAAAATTTGATTCTCTATCGATTTCCAGCGTTATTTTTGAAAACAAATTCCACCCCCCAACAGGATGGAAGCGTCAATCGGCGCTAAGTCACTATTGTTCATTGACCTTTTCTCTAACTATCTGCCAAATTTTAAGTCGACCGGTTCAGTTTCAAAGAATTCGGAGGTGAAAAGTTTCAATAACTGTACTATTATAAACGTTGAAAATGTTTATATCTACAGGGTGTCCCGTAAAGTATGTTTGGTTGGTGATAGTACATAAAAAAATATGACTAAAAACTCTAATAAACATAACCTCTTAAACGCACCATTTTGAAGATACAGACCTTCAAAGGTCTGCAACTATAAAAGTAGTTTTTATGACGTAACTCTTTGTTGGTAAAAGAAAACTTAATGAAATTTTCAGGGGCTAATCAGCTTTAGGAAATCAATAAATAATGTGGATATGAATAAAATCGAGAAAGCAGAAGGGTGTTTTTTATCACCCTGTATCTTATTTGCTGCTAAAAAAAATTTGTCTGCAAAGGTACAGCAAGTATCATACGATTTTTAGAAAGACCATTAAATTTAGAAATGTTTTTGTCTCTTGTGTTTTTTATCTAATATGTTTAGTTTTCTAGTAAATTTACAAAATGCAGAGAGATGAGTGCTTCCGAATTATTTACATACATTTCTTAAGCCTAGTGAATTTTTAAGAATACAATCGATTTACAAAATCATTTTTTTTAATTAAGTAACCAAAACAGAACTAAAACAAAATAGGTTATTATAATAAATGTTGAAATTGACCTCCTTCTGCATCGATACATACTGTCAGTCTCTTTATAAAGTTAAATCTGACTCTTTGGAATATGAATAGACTATTTCTTATTAAATTAAAGGTTTCTACAATTCGCAGTCTAAGTTGATCTTCTGTATCAACAGGGGTTGCATAAACTTCAGATTTCGCGTGTCCCCAAAGATAAAAATCGACAGGATTCAAGTCCGGTGATCGCGGTGGCCAGGCTATTGGTGCATTATATCCTCTTCCAATCCATCGATTAGGAAACCGCATATGTAGATACTCTCTAACATGAACACTGAAATGCGCAGGTGCCCCGTCATGGAGGTACCACATGTATTGTCTCAAATTTAAAGGAACATTTTCCATTAACTCAGGGAGATGGTTTTCTAGGAAGTTTAAATATTCTACTGCATCAAGCCTTTGAGGTAGAAAGAAAGGCCCGAGCAAATAGTCACCTATTATTCCAGCCCATACGTTGACCGAGAATCGGTGTTGGTGATGACTATCAATGGTAGCATGAGGATTTTCGTCTGACCATGCATGTGCATTGTGCAAGTTCAGTAAACCATCTCGTGTAAAGGTGGCTTCATCGGTAAATATAATGGAGCTAATAAATTCCACATTATGTTGGTGATGGTTAAGTATTATTCGGCAGAATTCTAGGCGTCGGGGAAGATCTTCAGGCATTAAATGTTGCACTTTTTGGAGATGGTAGGCATAAAGGCCGTTTTCCTTCAAAACACGCCAAACTGACATTCTGGAAAGCTGTAACTGATTAGCTGCCCTTCGCACACTTTCTCCCGGATTTTGTTCAAAAGATCTCAAAATTTGTTCATCTTGCGCGGGTAGTCTTCTAGCAATTCTACCACAATGTATGCAACGGGGTACCACACTACCAGTTTCAATAATCCGTCTGTGAATCCGAGTAAATCCGAGTGAATCCCTGAAAATTTCATTATGTTTTCTTTTTCCAACAAAGAGTTACGTCACAAAAACTACTTTTGTAGTTGCACCTTTTAAGGCCTATAACTTCAAAACGGTGCGTTTAAGAGGTTATTTTTATTAGACTTTTTAGTCATATTTTTTTATGTACTATCACCACCCAAAGTTTGTAACATACTTTACGGGAGTTTACGCCTGTATAGTCTTGTCTTGTAACGAATATTTTGTGAAAACATTTTCAACTTCTATAAAACATTATATTGGTGTTTGGGTAAAGCTAGTTGTGTTTTAATCCAAGGATTACAAAAACTGTTACAAACTGTCTAGACTGATATTAGACTTTCATAAAAATTCCCTATATTCTTTAACAAATCAGTAATCATAACGTTACGTTATATTAGAAAGAAGTAACAAAAAACATTGAAATACAATTATGGACACAAAAAACTCCATTTCATCCAAGCACTTCTCGCATTCTGTTTGTGTTTGGCGGCGTCGAATGTGGTGCATTTGGATTGTTGTCACGTCAGGGAGTGTAGTGTCATCGGTACACGAGAAAGATCGAGACCAGCTCAAGCATATTGATGACAAGGTCCTGCGAATACGTCTTTTTGCCTCCATTCTTTTCATCATTTTTCAGCTCTGATGTTTTGTCTAAACAAATAAACAAGTTTTACATAATACTATCTATTATATCTGGAACAGATTATTTACTTTAAACAGAGCAATGTTGAAAACTGTAATGTAATGATATAAATGGAAATAATCTAATATATCGCTGCTTCGCTTTGATACTGGCATACCGTAGTTTTGGGTGACTTGAATACGTTTTGAACTTTACGCAGTTCTAAAAACGAGACACATTTGTTTAAAATGCACTTTACTTTGACCATCAATGGTGGCTACAAATTAAGCTACAGTTAATTTTATTTGTACCACCCATATGGCTAAAAAAAATGAAAAAAAAATGTCTAGACACAACAATGTAATTTATTTACTCTTTAGTAACTACCCATAAGACCTTGCAATTTCAAACCCCGATATTTCAAGAACCATTCGGGAATTCGGGAAAAGCGAACAGAATCATTTTTCCTTAAATTCAGTCATAGAATTCATATACGAAGTACCTCGGATACCTCGGTGGCCACCCGTTATATACAATTTTACAAAATTAAATTGAAACATCGGTTTCTCTTGTTGATTGCTGTCAATCAATATAAACTGGAATTTCCTAGAAAGTGATTTCGGAGCGCTATTAAGGTTTTACTAGGTAGTATAACCGCTAGCATCAACACGGCGTCCTGCCAAGTTGCTGGTTACAAGAGCTCTCTTCCATTTATATTTCATTCATGCGAGCTTTGATCATACAACCTAAGTAATTTATATTCAATATTGTACCTACTACGCAAATAAAAAAACTTAAAATAAAATTAAATATTATATAATTTGATTTTGATATTCTACACACTTATTTAATACTATAAACAGGTGTATTTTTTACTAATATCAAAATTTCATTATGGTTGAAAATGAACAAAACAAAAAAATGTTGTATATAGCAATGTAAAGATGCGTCCACAAGTTATATGACTACTATACAGGGTGTTCCAGTGTCAGCGTACAAAAATTTACCGGGGCGTAGACCAGACCAAAATAACATTAAAATTCTTATAAAATATTTTTCTGCGATGCACTCTCACTGAGTTACAGGGTGTTGTTTAGAAAAAAATTATATCAACTTTCCGCAATAACCCAAAAACCTTTTCAAGGATTTAAGTAATTTTTGCGTGAAATGTACATCTATTAAAGGTCATTAAAACTACATGGTGGTTATTTCGATCTGACGCCAGGGGCGCCTAGGCCAACTTATCCTCAAGGTTATGTCTTCATAACTTTTGCATATCCTACTTTTATGTAATTTGATTACGTTTTCCTGAACCTGCAATCGATTCTGAACAAAAAATGTGCTCTTGTTTCATAGCTCAAAAATGAACCGTTTTCGAGTAAATTGGGTCTAAAGCATCTCCTGCATTAATTCATAGAAAAATGCATGTAAAGATTTTATTTGTTGTTATCTAGTAGGTACCTGTCATGATAAAAAAACAAAGTTGTTTACAAGCGTACATGTCAAAATTAATTACAGTACTCGAAGTTACGAGGAATTAAGTTTACAAAATAACAAGATATTAAGTATTATGGAATTTTCTAACAGCGAATATGCCGATATGATATTTGTCTATAGTTTCTGTGATGGAAATTCATTGATGGCCTCACAAGAGTATCTACACAGGTTTCCAAACAGAAGACAACCTTCACAGCACGTATTCCAACGAGTTTTCCAAAAAGTCCGTGAGACTGGGAGTGTTAAAATTGAAAATACCAGAATAAGAGGTAATTTGGAAGAAAATGTAATAGCTGCTGTTGTTGATAATCCTCCCACCAGTGTCCCAAGAATATCAGCGTAAGTAGGTACTCCACGAAGCAGAGTCTGGAGAATTTTAAACCGAGAAGAAATGCACCCATACCATCTACATAAAGTACAAACTTTGCATCCTGATGATTCCGAAAAAAGGATACAATTTTTGCAGATGGTTGTTAGAAAATATCTATAATGACGAAAATTCCATCAAAAGATATTGTGGAGCCATGAAACTATCTTTACGAGAAATGCTATAAATAATTTAAAAAATTTTCATGTCTGATCCATTGAAAATCCGCATGTGATATGACCCTCCGCGTTTCAAAGAAGATTCTTCATAAATGTCTGAGGAGGAATCTTCAACGGAGTCATTCTGCCTCTTCAAATTATTGTAGACCGTTTGAGTTCAGAGAGATACACGGATTTTTTAGAAAATTTGATGGCGTACTAGATGACGTTCCCTTAGCTTTGCGAAATCAAATGTACTACCAA